GAACTGGACGCGGCACTGGCTGCGGGTGGTCTACCCGCACGACGATCGGATGTCGGTCTCTTGTGGCCATTCACTCGAGCGGCAGCTGCTAAAGTGAGCTTCTGCTTTTGTTGAACATTACACTGCATTGAACAAACGATTCTACTTTTCCTACCCATTAGGCGTATCGTTCTAATTTTTATTGCCACTTCTTTTAATCGGGTTGACAGGTATCTAGATAAACAAGTACCATAAAAAGCAATATATATTGTTTTAACAGTTAGCCCCCTTCATTTTATAACTTTTACTGTTTGTCAGGCCAGTCTAATTGCACATCGTCACACCTGTGCCGCGTCGGCTATCAACCCGGTAAAAACACGTCTTCTAATGGACGACTCATTCGCGGTCACAGCTGATCCTCATCGTTGGAGTTCCGCGCTGCGTGGTGCCTCCACCGGACAGTCGATTCCACGGATACACTTCAACGCATCCTCACCGGTCACTTGTTGGACAGAACCAGAGCCCAAACTGATACAGCTCAGTCAGTCAACCCCGCCAAGTCCGATTTTTGAGACACAAGTAGAAATCTGTGTGGCCCCGGTGCTTGTGTGCATGAAAGTTCGACAGACTGTGGGCGCCGGAGATAATATTTCCGCCGGGGCATTGCGTGCACAAATCACCACACGCCAGGCAGGTATGCGGTGACTGCAATTGTGGGTGATATGGACGCTTTTAGTCTCCCCGAAAGATGCATTCCAATTGTGTATATGACCCCGTCTCTCGTTTTAACCGTCACAAATGAACAGATTATCCATCAGCTATCCCACATGTTTAGTTTTGATATCTCGATACAGATGATGCTATTTTTTCTTTTAGACAATTTGGGAATGGGAGACAAGCTCAATTGATTTTAGGTTTTGATTTCACTCCCCCCCTCACCCCTTGGATGTGAATATATATACATGTTTCTTCCCTAATTGAGTGTGTGCTTGTTTTGATCTCTTTGGCAAATGCATTAAACCGAACATCCATTCGAATGTGTGTGCCTTGGCTTTTGGAACGTTCATGTTGTCCAGGGTACATGCGAACTAAGCGGACTCAAACCAGGGTGGTTAGTGACTTGTATTGTATTGTATTGTATTGCAACAACTTCTGTAGGCATGAAGCCTACATTTCAGTTAAAACATAAGCAGTTTGGAGCGACGGAGATAATTAAAAATAATAACAATGAAAAAAGATATTTAAGTTCCAAAACTGTTAACAATGTCTGTGAAAACCTGTTCTTTTTTTAACTAGATTACGTGTTAATGAGGTTACTGTAGAGTTGCGATGCATGTTTATTCAAGAGGGAACACAACGATGTTGGGATCCAGTTAGAGGATGGGAACAACAAGAAGTTTGGTCAGCGTGTAGCAGATGTGCGGAGTCAATGAGAATCTTATGTGCAATCTTTTCACACGCATTCAAATGATGTTCGCATAGGTCAGTTAAAAAACTCCTTCAGCAGGACTGTAGAGACAAGGCTAATCATGGTCAGTCCAAATCGAAGCAGTTTAAAATCTCCCTTTAGGAGATTATAAAAAATAACAGCTGAACAATAAAGTAAAATAGAGAAAACACACTACACAAATTTGGAAATAAGTGATTGTTGAATACGAAACTGATGAAGTTACGGATATGAAAAGAAAGTCGTCAAAGCTTATTGACGATGTGTTGAATGTGAGAGGTCCAGCGAAGATTAGTATCAATAAAAACATTCAAATATTCAATACAATTTACCCAGGATACTGGTTCGGAACCAATCGGTACCGGTTCAGATGGGGAAGAAGAGCGTGATAGCGTAAAGAGATATTCGAAATATTTGGAGGGATTAAGAGATAGGCCAGATGTGGCGGAAAACCGTTGAACGTTGTCCAATCTACCAGAAAATTTTGAGAGACCAGAAGAGTCAGAGATGGCCTGACACAAAACCACATCGCCAGCATACTTGAAGAGAGAAGTAGGGGCGCAAGCAAACAAGTCATTAATGTAGGTGGAAAATAAGTATGGGGAAAGAACTGCACCTTGAAGTACTCCAGAACTGTTCAACAACGGTTTGGATTTCTTCCGACCTAACCTGGTACACAGTTCTCCCGGAGAAGTAATCGGCAAGCCAAGCTAATAACTGTCTAGGACAACCAAGGGTCATCAGTTTAGGAAGAAGAAAGGAACGCGGAATAAAATTAAAATCAGATGAGTAGTCCAAAAACACAACGGACAGCTTTCGCAGAGTCATTCAAGGACTTGCTAATTTTATGTAAAAGAGAGGAAGCTGTATCTGGCGTGTATATGTTTGGTTTATAGGCAAACAGAAGAGGATCATACGGGACATCAATGGAGGACTGAATGCACTTAAGAACAACACGTTCTGCTAGCTTAACTCCGACAGAGGTTAAAGAGATAGGACGAAAGCGTTTGGTTTGAACGTTTGAAGTAGAGGATTTGGGAATGAGAACAATTATTATTGGTTTCCAACAGTCTGGTGTAGAGGAGGTTTTTAGGGAATTGTTCAAAAATTATGTAAATATTTCACTGAGAGAATAGGCCCTGCATCTCAGAAAGGATGATGAAAGATCATCGGGACCAACACTGCACGTGGTTTTCATGGTAAGCAGAAGCTCAAAAGTTTCTTCATTCGAAACGGCCTCTACTTGAATGGCATCATTCAGAACAAATGGTATGATCGCACTGCTTAATGGGTGGATAAATGCTGCATTAACACCGTCCAAATCCGTTGTACAATCCGGCGTTTTGGATTTGGTCCCACACAGCAATTTGATACCTTGCCAAATTCGCTTACCGTTGTTACATAGCAGAAGCTGGGAGGCTTACGACACAGGCGTTTGATTTCAGGTTTGATCAAGTTGGTGTAATACTTGACAGCCGCTGAGTCTCTAGATCTGTACAGTCGTTCCTTCTGTCTTCAACAGTGGGGATGCTATTCTGCCGTTACAAACAAATAGGGTTTCAAAAGGGCAGCCTAGGTTAAACGGGCGGTTAAGTGCTTCAGTGAATAAGTTGACTGCATTGCGTAAAGAGGGATAAGAAGAAAACCACGAAGCAACGACACTGATGAATCGCTTAAGAAGAAAAATGTTACTTTGGGAGATATTGCGAAGACAAATGACCATTTTTAGGGTTCTTGTGAGTTTATTGTGAACGGGGGTAAACTGTGGGTGAGAATCAGTGCATGATCACCAGTAGGAATAGATGCGATGATTTTGATGGCAAAATCTTCTCGGTGATTAGTAATAACCTTATCTAAAAATGAATCACCTCTTGTGAGGGACAAGAAAATATCAGTCAAACCAAAAGAAGTTATTGGACAAGTAGATGCATGATTAAAGTCACCAACAATGATGTGAAGAACATCCTCTTCGAAGGGAACAAAAGATGGAATGAATGCTTCAAAGAAGGATGAAATATGAAACAGAAAACAAAACAATGAATCGAGGGGACACGATGAAGGGGCGACCTAATAGAAGCGTTTAAGATAATAAAATCCTTCATGCAGATATAGGGCGCTAATGAGCCAATTTGTAGGATGAGAAATAATGAAACCCTTAGAAGACATGCTCTGAGGCTGAAGTAAAGACCCAGACTTGCGAGAAGTAAAGTCTCTTTTTCCCTCTGTTTACAGATAGAAAGAGAAGACGATCAATCACACAGGTAGACGCACACTCGAGAGTACCACATCGAAGGACTTCGAGGCGCTTGGTTGGCCTGCGGCCACTATCAGTCTTGTGCAACCTGACATGACTTTCAAGGTACGTACCCCGCGCGCGGTTTGAACTTTGACGCACTCTCTGCTACAACCTATTTATACTAACAAAGTGGAATATCTACCGATATTTCACTTATTATACACTGCCTGGGTTAAACCAAGGCACATGTTATAATTCAGTGACCGATCACAGGTCACTCAGTTTTACAGAGTTCGTGGTAGTATTTGGTTTTGCGTAAACAGTTTTCTTTACTGCTTTTGTGGAGTACATCTGGGTTCCATTTTTCCATTTTTCCAGTTTTTCAGTTTTGAAATTAGTCATTTTATCGGTGTAAAATTTCTAAAATTTTTCCACCTTTCAATGTCTGCACGGAATGAGGTGAACGAGTGTGGCGGCTGTGGAGAGTTTGTGACCGAGGGTATCCAGTGCGAACGGTGCCATCTTTGGTATCATAAGGGCTGTAGTAATCTGACAAAAAGTGCTACAACCTATACACGATACATAGTTTCCTGCGATGGATCTGTGTCCACTGTATGGCGTTCATAAGGGAGTGCTCACGCATCCCCAGGGACAAAGCGGCGGGCAACACCAGCCAGCTGGATCAGCCTAAAGAGACGAATTCTCGAGTGCCCAAAAGAAAGAAAGCAAAGAAAAGGAACCGTAAGGAAAACCGGGAACCAGATGCCAACACGAAAGGAAAAACTACCGCAGTAGCTCAAGAGGGCGACGCGGAGGATATGGCAAGGATAAAAGAAAGGTTGGAACAGCTTGAAAAAGAGCTCAAACTCCTGAAAGAAACTAATCAAGCAATCCTAGGAAGGGCTAGGAATATACTTCCTCATAACTGCGTGGAGCCTATGATTAGAGACTCCAAGTCTGGGCACGAGGCGGACCGGAAGTATGTGCAGACCGCACTCAGGCTAGCGGGGATGTCTACCATGACGGGAATTCTGAAGTGTCATAGGGTGGGACTATGGAAAGGAGAAAGAGCCACCCAACCCCGGCCTATATTGTTAACCCTCACGAGTGTGTATACCAGGGACCGCCTATTGTCCAGATCAGCGGCAATAGAGGGCATCACCGGGGCGGCATAATTGTCACCCCAGATAATGGTACGGTGATCCGTAGAACAAACTGGCCACTCACCAGTAAACAGGAAGTACGGCCGCCGAAGAACGCAGTAGTTAAGCTAAGAACGGTAGGGGCACCCGAAAAACCTAGATCGGTGACCAACTTAACGAAGGCCCAGGGTCAGATGTGCACACCAAAGGGCACACAATGACCGAAGCGTACACCGTTGAGTAAGTCAACGCCAAAACCTAAAGGGAATCCGCTGCGAGAGCTAAGGGGTAGCGAAGCGAAAGTGGTTGAAGCGGAGAAAACCACCACCGCTTTCGGCCCCGCAGCAGCTGCGAAGCTAAAACCTGTAGCACAGAAATCCGCTTCCTCAGAGCAAGATGATCGCAAGAACAGAGCGCACGGAACCTCTTCACGCGAAAAGATGTAGGAGGACCGCAGCTGGACAACGGTAGTAGCAACTACACCGAAACGCCGGCCAGGATTGGGCACAATTACCAGTCCCGGACACGAGGACCTAGAGTTCCTCAAAAGCTTTACGCCGTAGGCATCCAAGTCAGTAGACTGGGTAGATCTAAAGGCGGCATATCGTGGATAGCGGAGCCTACCTCCGGCTGTTACACAACAGCAAAAAACGGGGTTATCCCTCGGGTATT